GAAATCTTAGTTCAACTCTCAATGATTGCAATCCTAGTACTATGACATTTGGTGGATGTTGATATCATACGTAACAAAAATATATATGTTCAATTTTATCAAGTAATAGATATATTCCCTCTCTCTTTTAATTTTATTTTTTTTAACAAAATTTCAACCTTAGACTCGGCAGTTAAAGTGATCCATTGGTTGAACCACCGATTCGACGACCCCGATAATTTGTTCGGGTCAACGATCGGATCAGATATGATAACTATGTTTTGAAGAGTGAAAGAATAACGAAGAGGAAAATTGACAGTTAACATTTACTAAAACCCAAAAATGTATTTGTTTTATAATTTTGTCATTAGAGACTATTTAATTGTCAAAAAATATTATCGAAAGGGATAAGCATTGATACCAATTTTTCTTCACACATTCAACGACAAAATCTTTGTCATATTTAAAACTATGAAATAATCCTTTTTTCTGTTAGATTGATATTATTAGCAAATTGAACCTTGAAAGTAAGTGATTGGACCCATTTTTCAAACTTGAAATTCTTACAGATAAATATTATTAGACGGGTAGATAATGTACATTCATAATTACAATTCGAACTGAGATATAAATAATTTCAATTCACGGTATTAGTTATTATGGTCGTTAACGGTCAACGACTACCCGTGCTCATTCAAGATCGCCACTGACAGTGAGTATGGAGGAAGGTAAGGGAGTGGTGTAGTAGCTGGGGTGGGGGCTTGAGGGAAGGGTCGGACGGTGGTAGTGGCTACTTCCACTGCTGACCCGGTGGCTGAATTAATGGCTGTGGAGGAGCTTGGAATGAGTTGGAGTGAAGGGGGAAAAAACAACACTGAAGTTGGAGTAGGCCTAAAAAGAAAGGGAGGTGGAAGGGGTGAAGGGAAGTGGGCTGGTCTGCACACCAGGAGCCAACTGGAGCTCCTCTCCACTGAAGTTGTAGGGAGCGGTGCCTAGGGACTGGAAGGAAGAGGTGAGAAGCGCAGATTAGTTGCTGATTTGTTGGAGGAAGAGGGGAAGATGAAAAGAGGGATGATTACTGCTATATATAGTCATGTGCAGTGAGAATAACACTGATCAGGTGAAGTCTACGCTGAAGGCCAGCTAATCATCATGAGTTGCCTATGAAGGAAAGTACTGGGGCGGGTAACCCTAGAACAGTGTCCAGGCTGAGGCCTCTTATCCAAAAATATTCCGCCGACCTAGTTTTTGTGGCCAAAACTAGGTTATTTGAATCTCAGGCGAGTGATTTGAAAAATAAAATAGGGATTGATTAGGGGCTTGTGGTAGATTGTGTTGGAAGGAGCTGGGAGCTGATGTTGTTGTGAAGAGGTGAGTTGCAGTTTTATATCAGATCATATTCTGCTGGTCATATTGATGCCCGGGTAATCTGTCTGACCAGTGAGTGATGGCAACTCGTTTTTATGGGAACCCACATTGGGAATTCCGTCATGCTAGCTGGGAATTACTAGGCCAGTTGAGTCGTATGGGTCTGCCATGGATCTGATGAGGCGACTTTAATGAAATTGTGTCCGAGGATGAGAAGTTAAACTACAGGATTGTAGCACATTAATAGCTGATCCTACTTTTAAAAGAATAAAATGAAACTTTCACCATAAATATTTTACAAGTACTTTTTAGGTTTTACTCTATATCATTACTATAGATAAATAGATATCAAAGTCTAAACTTCTCATTATCAATTTTACATAGAAAGGGTAATATTCGCCATCAATGTGCAAAGAAGGAGCCAAAGTCGTAACGTGTACACAAGAAAAGCTCATAACCACCATTTTCAAATTTAAGGCAAAAGTTTTCTAATAGTCCTCAAGTGAACTTCAATCAACAAGGACTAGTGAAGGAGAAAAACTTAAGATAAAACCATGGTTTGGCTATGCATCTTTGAATCCAAAGCGTACGAAGTGAAAACAACAGTATTATCATGTCGCTATGCCAAAGCTATGCAGAAACAGCTCAAAGGGTCTAGTTATCAGACTTTTTTATGTAATTGAAAATGATCAATCAACAAATCACATTGATATGCTCAAAATTATCATTGCATAATCATGGGGCAACTGTCATCACACCAGTGTCTACTAGCAAATAGCATCCCATTACATAAAATAAATGTAAATTATAACTATCAAATTAATTCGGAGCATTCAATAGCATCTTTAATTTTTTGAACTGTGGAACTTATAAGAGAGTCAACAGTGGCCACTGACTCCATTATTTGTTGCTCTGAAAGTGTATTGCAACCCTGTAGTATTTGAAAAGCCACTGTCAAGAGTGAACCACTGGAGTTACTCGTGTTTGTGCTGCTTGACGCTCCAGTTCCATTATGATCAAGGTGGCCATCACTTGAGATTATATATCCAGATGGAAGTATAGGAATTATCGAAGTGGCTTCACCATTAACAGCTGAGGTGATGGATTGTAACTCCATTGGGGCATAGATTATAATTGCTCCTAGGGAGTCAATGCTACTCTCTTGGAGCATCAGCAGGTTCTTCTCACTGGGTACATATGGCTGCATCAATCACAAATGTCATTGTAGTGAGAAAACCATCGGTACACAATTAAGTGCATTGGAGACGGCCAAGAATTAAGCAACAAATATTAAAATGCTTTATAGCTCCATATATAGCAAAGTAGAAAGGAAGTGACCTTGATGATAGAGATACAATTTCCAGAATGTGTTCCAGTTGAGACGTGTGCAATCTCACTAACAGGACTTCCATTGGATAAAACATCCCACTGCAAGGGAAAATCGATCTCTTTGAAATTTCTATACTTGTTTTCAACACTTTTAAGCAAATTGACAATCTTATTCAAGTATTAAAAAAAACAGTATTACAATATATACCTCAGCTCTCTTTTTATCATCTTTGAAGAAGTTAAAGAGATTCTCTGGTGATAGGGGAAGCCATAGAGAGGTGGCTGCACTGACGATCAAGCCATTTGGTTGGCCTAGACCACTGCTTTGTCTAAGCGAGACTCGAACCCCACTATTATTCAATTCTGAAATGTGGGAAAAAGCTAGATTGTTCGACATGCTCAACATTTCAAAAAAATCCTTCATCATTCGGTGAGAAAGTTTCATTAAATTTCTCCGGCCTTCAGCTGAGTAAGTCACTACACAAAAAAAATGATCACAATCATTTTTCTCTCAAGTTTGGTACATTAGATAGAGTATCATTGCACTAGTGAAATTGAAGGATAGACCACAGAACAAGAGCGAAACATACCTTCTTCAAGTTCGTGCCAAGGTATATTAGTTAGTTTCATTGAGAATGTGAATCTCTCACACATCCTTTGTAAACTAGCAATCCACCTTTTGGCTCCGTATGCTTGACAGCCACATATTAAGTCTCTATAGAGACGATGAGTTAAGAATTTATCATAGACCTGAACATGTTCGATCCATGTAACCTATTAAAAAAAACAAAGAAAAATTGTAAATGGAGAATAAAATCGAGTGCATGCACAACTTACCATATTAATCTTAAGAAATCATTAATGCTGTCAAATTTATTACGTTCGTCAATATCTCGGCGTAGATAACCATGTATTGATCTAACAAGAATTTATAAAGAGTTAAAAGTAGAAATTAGTTAAACCGGCATAACCTTGGGACATTAATTAACATATAGGGTTATAAAGTAAATGGCTTGCTTATTTTCTTATTTCGTGGATCTTAGACGATACTCCGCGAACTGCTATCTGAACTTTTCACTCTTGAGATAATCCATAATCTTCCTTAGTCCCTATGTCTCCCATTCTCTTAAAACTTTTTTTCTATATACTCATTTTCAACCACACATTTATAAATTAAAATATGCTATACGTAAACCCAAAAACCACACATTCTCCAAAAATTCACTATTCAAAACAATGTTTTTCCAAAAAAAAATAAAAATGGCCACCAAATAGGGGCTTAAATTGACTTGCCACATTGTAAATGCTACGTGAAAAGGCATGCCTCATGAAACACATTTTTTTTTTTTTTTTTGGATTTCACCATATTATTTCTTGACTTGTGAAGAATATCACAATACTAGTCATACAATGTCATTTAGCAAAATTTATGCACTATCAAGTGGTCACTAATGGCACTTGAGTGACCACCTTGTAATTGACTTGTTAAGAATATCACAATACTAGGCATACAATGTCATTTAGCAAAATTTATGCACTATCAAGTGGGCACTGATGGCACGTGAGTGACCACCTTGTATATATGACAATCCTTGTGCCGTACTAATCATCATAATTCTTTCAAGAATGTAAACATAGTAAATCATCATAGAAGTATATAAAGAGATTGTAAAAGAACTCACCATTGATTTTCCATTTGACATATCTTCTATCATACATCCTGATGGAAGTTTCCAAGACGGGGAAGAGGAAGCATCTTGTATCTCTTTGATGAAATCATACGATACATCAGCCATTATCCACATGTTTGAATTAAGTTGTCGAAAGTAGCGAATGAAAAAGAATTCTCGCGGTACCACAAGAGGTGATAGAATGTGCATTTTTTCATACATCTGTTTACAAGTGTAATAATATTAATCTTTCATAAAATATATATATAAAGCAAACGACATAACCAATTCAAAAGTAGATATCGAGTTACTTACCAAGTACAAAGTTCCATCCAATCTTCCTGAATCAATTACTTCTATGGTCCTAGCATTAGTGACAATAGTAGGAAACATGTCTTTCCATTTATTCTGCAAAATCATTAAGTTATGTAAGTTAAAATGGGTTAATTTCACAAACCGTCACTGAAGTTACCTGAAAATCACAAAACGGTCACCGAAGTTTAAAACTTGCAGAAACGGTCACTGAAGTTTAAATTTCTTTCACAAACAGTCACTGAATTTTCAGATTTTTTGGTCAAGTTTTGCGGCAATTTTTCGGCAACTTCCAACCACCAAGACCGCCTGATTTGGATACCGTTGGAAAACCCACAATGTCCTCTTCAATTACCGCCAAAAATCTCCCCATAACTCCAAGGGATTCTGCCGAAATATACCCACGAAGTCGGCTACCGAAAAATCTGAAAATCTTCCCAGATTTTCAGATTTTTTGGGTGAGTTTGCCGTAATTTTTCGGCAACTTCCGACCACCAACACCGCAAGTTTCGGATACCCTTGGAAAGCCCGCAATGTCCTCTTCAATTACCACCAAAAACTTCCACATAACTCCAAGGGATTCGGCCGGAATAAACCTACGAAATCAGCTACCAAAAAAATCTAAAAATCTGCCCAGTTTGGGTAACTGACTTCATGGGTTTATTCCGTCCGAAACTGTTAGAGTTATGGGGAGATTTTTTATGGTAATTGAAGATAACATTATGGGCTTTCCAACGGTATTCGAAATCGACGGTATTGGTGGTTGGAAGTTACCGGAAAATTGCCACAAACTAGCCCAAAAAATCTAAAAATCTGGGTAGATTTTCAGATTTTTAGGTAACCGACTTCGTGGGTATATTTCGGCCGAATCTCTAGGATTTATGAGGATCTTTTTGGTGATAATTGAAGAGGACATTGTGGGCTTTCTAACAGTATCCAAATCCGGCGATCTTGATAGTCGGAAGTTGCCGAAAAATCATCGCAAAACTTGCCCAAAAAATCTGAAAATTTAGTGACCGTTTGTAAAAGAAATTTAAACTTCAGTGACCGTTTCTACAAGTTTTAAACTTGAGTGACCGTTTTGTGATTTTCAGGTAATTTCAGTGACCATTTGTGAAATTAACCCAAGTTAAAATTTTATTATATTATCTAGCGTGTGATGGGAAAACGACAAGTGTCAGATTTTACCGGATCAAGAAGCATCTCAATCAAGTTTGTCGTAGCCATTGCCACAACTGCTGAATCTTTGGATGACTCAATCCGGGCACTAGAGGCTTTAAAATAATTTGCCTTGGGAAAAAGCATGTCATGGCTATTTCGATTAATTAAATATCTCCCATCAGTTGGGGACTTGATCCATGCAGGTTCTTTTATTTTTAGAAGTTGCACCAATTCATCCATGGCAGCAGCAGCGGTTCCAATAATGATTGACTTCTCCATCTCCTGTATTTCCCTCAATTGAAACTGTGAGGGGATATTTAGTGAACTCCGTGGAATTTGTTCAGTATCAAGGGGAGGGCATCCCGTCCCTTGACCAAAAAAATGTTTTCTAGGAACACTTAATGAAGATCCAATACCAAGAGATTCCATTTGTAAAAAAGCTGGCAATTTTCCCTTCATGCTGGAATATGAGTTAAGCATTCGTTCGCGCTGCAAAATGTACCAAAAATGAGTTCACCCCTCGTCTTTCAAGACTTATCTACAGAAATGTACTTTTTCCTTGGGCACGTAATAAAATCAATGATTACCTTCTTTTGTACTAATTATTTCTACAAAAAAAATGAGGTAGGGATAATGCCAAATCGCCTACCTAAGCACACATGTATTTTGTTTAAAAAGAAAACAGTCACCTCTTTTTTCAACAAGGCATTTTCCATTCTCAATTTCTGAATATTACATTGCCTTTCTTCTTCTCTGGGACGTAGACCATCACAAGTCGGGCAGATAATGTTATTCAGAGCCTCTTTCATTGCTAAATTCTCACAGTGCATTCTTTCATTTTCAGATCGAAGGGTGCTACCATTTGTTCTCTCTCGTTGAACCTGAAATATATAAATTGTTCAATGTTAATTATTAGCACAACTGAGAATGAAATGGGAGACAGGAACATAAATGTATAAATCAACCATATATACAGCACCTTCGCCTGAGTTCTTTTATTTTGAAACCAAAACATTATCTTTTTTGGATCAAGCGATAGTTCCCTGCTCAATTGTTGCCTCTGATTTTCATCTGGATGTGGGCATTCCTTAAAGAACCTGCACAGTTTCCATCAGTCAGGAGCAAAATATTCATGTTTTCTATTGAATAAATAAAACATAAATACTTGAAAATGAAAATCTAAAACAATTGAACCAACTATTTAGTTCTGTACATATGCAGCCACAATCAAAAAGTTCAATATTAATTGCTGCATCAAGAAAGTTGTAACCATTACCTATTATCAAAAAATATGGAATATCTCTTTAACTTTTATCAAATATAATCACCACTTAAATATTCTTCAATAACTAGAAAATGGAAGTTTATAGAAAAAGAATTACAATCAAAATAGTAACTATTATCTGAATTTGGATTGCTTCAATTAAAAAACAATTAAAATAGTAAAAATAAACAAATCATCTATAAGAAAAACAGGTTTGCTGTATTTTAATCCTACGCTTCAAGCTGCTGTATTTGTTGTGTTGAGTGTCGATGGCACGGCTTCTTGCCCATTCGAGAGTTTGAGGTCTGTTCATTGCCTGATACACTTCTTCCATAGCCAGAATCCATTGTTTACAAAGTTTTTCTGCTGTCAGAGATAGTCTGGCAATGTGAAAAGTTCCACACACTAACAATCAATAAACAAAATGCACATTCATTTCTATCTGGTCTGAATTTAGATGGTATTTATTCATCTCTTTGTCAAATAATAAAGTACAAATTAAAAGAGGCAAAGAACTCACCTACTTCAAATAATTGAGAAATAGACTGCAAAATATTCTAGGATGTGATTTCCTGTGTTTGTGTTTGTGGTGTAAAGCATATTTCAGCTATATATGGGAAAGAATATGGAGCCGATAGGGTTTTGCATTGATGAGTAATGAATAATGTTAAGAGTTTGACTTCTGTGAAACAACTAAGAAAAATATCACCACATTATTGCAGTAATTAAAGTGAGGATACCATAACAGATAAGGACAGTGACAAATGCAAATGAAATGCAGAATATAACACACAAATCTTTTTTGTTACGCATTCGATCCTATTTATTTCATCAGCTTTTAAGTTTGAATCATTAATTAACTTTGAATCACTCTTGACTTGGATATAAAATTCAATAACATAATCACGATCCATTAAGTATCTGCATTAATGATCAAACCTGTAATGATAGATATATACATTAATGAATTCAAATTCATTTCTATAGAGATGATGTGTATAAATTCAAATGCCTAACATCCATAATTATCTGTTTCCCTAGTATCTTATGTGAGTATATATTTACAAATACTTTTCAAAATCGAATTTTCTTAATTTTGCGGGGACTACTAAATTAATAGATTAATCATATTTGCGTGATCAAATAAGTCTCAATCAGCCCATTGCCGCTCCAATTACCCGAAAAAGACTGGAATTTTTTCCTTTTGCCACTCTGACATAAAGTTAGTATCTAAAAAGCAAAAGGTTAAAGATATATGTGAAATATATAAAAGGTATCAAGAAACTTACTCAATAAATTGGAGCACATTTGGAAGTCTCCTTTTTGGGGCAGCATTTCCAATATTGACGAACAGCGGGAAGGTGGGTAACATCAAGTTCTACGTTTGTTGCTTGGGTATGGACATCTTTTAATGTACTAGTAGTTAGACAAGAATATTCCGATATTTTATGCACCTCTATCACAGAGATGTATACCTAGTTGTACATCTTTTTTTTTTGATAATCGATACCTAGTTGTACATCTTGGAGATTCTACTATTCAAGATGTTTTGGAAGGCTCGACTAAATGAACAATCTTAAGCCATGATTAATGCAATAGGCTTTGTCACATGGTGGCATTATTATCTTTGCATGCATGAGGTTGAAGCCAATGTCATACTAATTCTCAGAAGTCATTCACCAATGTCCTCAACAAGTATGATAGTTAATAGTCGTACGAGCAATCTTATAATGGTTCATCTAAGCTTTTCAGGTCCGAGTGGCATTATTAGCCCCCGACTTCTCCGTGAGGAGAATAGATAATTATGGAATACCTTTCAATTTCATGGTGTTACTGCAAGTGTTGTTAGCACAGGACATGCAAGATCTTCTGACATACTTGGCTTTCTACACACATTTTTGGTATTATCAAGGGGAAATGTCACCGCAATTTGAGGCATTGTCACTTCATCCATCACGTCATTATTGTGCCCACAAGTAGCCCATTGACGAGGCAATTTAATGCCTCCCCACGTGGCAATAAGCTGAAAAAACACGTACGATGTAATATGATATGGACATGATGTTTGCAAAGATCAAACATTGTATCACTTTATTTTAATTTATTATTTAATTTTAAAACCTTTAGTTATGTGCATTTTTTTTTTTTTCATTTTTAGTAGCTAGCGATTTAATTTTATAAACAAAAGCTAGGGTATCATTGTAGTTGGTCGACAAAGCAGGAACAAGAGCGAAATGAGAGTGGGCTTCGGATAAATTTTTGGGATTGATTCTGAATGATAATGGGGTGAATTACATTAGTATCATAAGATATACCTTTTGGGAAATGTGGTTGCAATATCTTAACGTCAGTGGTTATAAAGCTAGCCACGTTATTGATAGACAAGGTGAGGATAATATTTTTTTGCTCCATTCAATCAAGAGATATGGATGCAGAGATGGACCCAACTCCCGGCCTGGGGGGCGGCCGCACGTGCTGGGCTCCGCCGGACTGACCGACGCCGGCAGCGCTTGTGCCTGGTTCGTCTTCTTTACGGTTTTTTTTTAATGATGGGCTACATAACCTGCGTTCCTTTTTTCTTCAAATGAACATCCATTTGTTAATGAAAACGAATGTTTAAAGGTGGCTAAATCAGAGATCATCAAGAAGAATGGTCCAATTAATGGCCATGCCCTGGACTTGGTGGTGCTGAAGACCTGCATAGATTTTCATTTGTAGCGGTAGAAGTTAAGTTAATTTTACAGTTTTATTTCCTTTTTCTTTTTTCTCCTTTTGCTCTCTTTTGCATCTCTGTTTGCACTTCCATTGTGACTAGTAAAAAGTCATTTGATTATGTTATCCAATGATGCTTTCAGATATGTCCACCATGTGTTTGATGAAATGTCCAAATGGTGGAAACTTTTTCTTGACAAAGTTTGACAAGCTTTTTTGCCTTCTATCTTCCCAAAGCTAAATGTGGAAAAATTGTGGTGGGTGCCACTATAACCAAAACTACAAGAAATGGTTTGTTTATCTCCATTTACACTAGGAAATGGTAGACAATTGGTTAGAAAGTGATTGTAAAAGAAGGGAAATTGGGTTTGAGATCTGATATTTAATTTTCTGTTCAAAATACATTTAATATGATATGTTTCTTGTGTTTTTGTTCCTGGATCAGCTAATTCGGATTGTTTGTTATCGAAAATACTAGTGATTTTATCTTATGTAATTTATTGCATTCATTGTACCTTTTTGTATGTTCTAAAACTTATGGGATCATTTTGATTTTTCACCTGTATTTCATATCAAAAAACAGATACCTAATTGGCTTTGTATATTTTTTCCCTTTGCCTGATATTCTACTAATAATTTATGAATTATGAGGTTCTAATTACGGTCCATGAAGTGTTCAGAGTTCTTTAATGTCATGCTCATTTGTTTAATAGAAATGCATATTTTCTATTGTTATCTACATGCTTAATCTGATTTTCATTGTCTAAAATTTAGGATTTTGAGTGCTGTTCAACTTTTGAATTTGCATCCATGATTTTGCTTTTTGGCAATTGCATTTTAATGAGCTTACATATTTCAAGGTGCGATACTTGGTGTTTCTTGCTTATGATAAGTTTAGTGAAGGTGTCTGTTAGTTTTGTACTCCTAGGTTGTAATACAATATCTTTTGTCTTTTTTCTCCATCTCATATTTATTAAAGTTGTTGATATTGAACTCAATTCAAATAGATTTATTTCAGAATTGGCTTTTAAGCATTTGTGAGCTCTTCAAGTTGTTGCCATAAATTTAAGAAGTTGATATAATTCTGCCTTTAAACATCATCATGTCAAATATATGATAAAATCGTTGGTTATTGGAATTTGGAATCCCGAAAGACATAAATCTAGTGTATAACAAATTTTTTATAATGAATTCATATAAAGCCCTTGCTTGGTCCCATTATTTTCAAAATACGTTTTTCTCTCTCTTATTTTTAACCACCTTTTTTTAATGAATTTGCTCTTACTCTTCGATTGTATGCCCCTTTATTGAGTTAAATCTGAGGGCTTTGAAGCCTAATGTTTTCATTTCTGGTTTGAGTATTTTAAAGTAGACATTCTCACATTGATGTTGTTGTGGTTGATCTATTAATGTATGTGTTGCTTCATGCTTGAATTAAAGCATTGCTAAGCCTAAGCATTACTGATTTATTGTTGCACATTTGCTGAACTTCGACGTTGACTAGTCAACGTCCGCCCAGGCTCAACTCTGAGGCTGGGTTCATCCCTATATGGATGGGCATTTGTTTCGAAATGAGATTATGATGGTCTGCAAATGTTTGGCACTAGAGTTCACGATGTTACTAGAGGACTGTGGAGGAGAAGATAATAAAGACTATTAGGAAATTGGTTTGTGGGTACACGACTGTTGTCAAAAAACAGGCCGAAGTCATAATATTGAGGGTAATTATTACATTAATGGGAAGATTAAGGGAATTTCAGTCAATAAGAAACAACCGGACATGCAGATAGGTCCAATAGGCAACACACCTGCCTTTAACATCCATCATGCCCAAGCTTTCCTCTTCAATTTCACTTGCTTACCAGTTCATCTGACAAATTTTTTGTGCTCCAAAAAATTGTTTCAGCACAAACGCACGTCGGTGATCTAACAATCAATAATGCAACATTTTAACAGATCTGCTATGATATCACTTGATATGGACCGCCTGCGTAGCCCTTGGGGTCCCTCAGGCCCCTGGGGCAGCATCCCCTCGCACGGGCCTGCAAGTTCGAACAACCTCCACACACACACAATACTTTGGTAGGATGCTACAACTATACCAGCATATGATAACTCCATTAACATACTTTTCGACAATATGGGCCATGCGCCAAGCTATTGGCAACATCGCTGCCCGCATGCATACAGGATTTTGCTAGATTTGTGATACGGAGCTCCTTTACACAGAATTTGTGATGTGCGCTGCCTAGAGGCACGGATGGAAGGGGTGAGAAGCATAGGTTAGTAGCTGACTTGTTGGAGGAAGAGGGGAAGAAGAAAAGAGGGATGATTGCAGATATACTCATGGGGACTGAATATCTCCAAACCTTCCATTCATTATGAGTTAATTAACTATGGTTGAATGTGTGGGTGTAGCCTTGTAGGAGCCATAGCACGGTGTCAAGGCTGTGGTCTCTTATCCGAAATATACCCCAAACCTAGTTTTTGTGGGCAAACCTAATTTATTTGGATCTCAGGCTAGTGATTTGAAACGAAAAATAGGGATGGATCAGGAACTTGTGGTGGATTGTGTTGGGAGGAGTGGGGGATGATGTTGTGGAGAGATGAGCTGTATTTTGATATCAGATCATAT